CTGAGTAGCCCACGTGCATAAGTGTGTGGACGTGCGTGTGTGTGCGTGCGCGCGCGCGTGTGATATGCATCCATCACTCCCCTCAGTGCACATCCTGCGGTTCATCAAACAACTTGATTACCATCGAGCTAATTATTAACACTCGCCATAGGGTACACGCAATATATTGCCTCATTGTCATTCCAGAGGGACAGTGCATGCACTCCTTTGGCTTGTAGGTCCTTGGGACCAATTTGCATTAACTTACTTTCGTATATACATACCTCTGTATTAGCCACGACAAAAGGATTTTAACAAACAATAGGAACACTATAACACCGGTCTTGTTCTCGGCGATGAAACCTAAAGTTGGATGTGTGAGATGGGCCGATAAAAAAGATGGTGAGTGCATTTGTCCCTTTAGGTGATATTACTTGTTTACTTGCGTCTTGGGCTTACTGATTATCCAAGAATGTTAAAACATGAGATTGAGAGATTTCTTTACACGCACGCACAGTTTGAGAGTTGAAAACATGCGAACGAGACATTGTGTTATTTTTTGAAGAAAAGTTACCGGCAAGATTCATTACTAAAAAGCGTAAGCCACCCAAGGCGTCCCTTAGTTACCTTAGCATTCTGTCAAAGAGATCACTTAATGACCATGAAGCATAACGACATACCTGTCTCCTTTGAGTCTGCAGCAATAGGTCACACGAGCCCCTCACCTCGTCTGTATGTAGACGTATTTTCCGTCGAAATATGCAGCCGTTGGGGTTGTTTCCCAGTGAGAGGACGCCCCCGACGTATCACATGACGTAAAATCTTGCCTCAGTAGGAGTGTCTTTGATATACGTAACTAACAGCCACGATGCACTAAAACGAGAAGATAGGATGCAAATATGTGGATATCATTTTTTCTGAAATAATTGAAGGCACTCTCTTGCGCCTGTAGTGATGCTCAGCCGGCTTTGTAAATATCAGTGTTGATACGAACCCCTCACAGATGGTAGCCCAAAAGCGTGCGCCAAACTGGGCCAAATCTTCCATATGAATAATAGTCCTATCTTGTGTATCTATTAACGACATTTCGCCTCCGGCGCTATAAGCCCTGTTAATTCATTCAAGAGGCCCAGGATACACAGAGAAGTCGTAATATCACTGGTTTAATCTGTAATTTTTGAAGTTTATCGGTATTATTTGACAATATTTTAGCGACTCGACATGTAAATTGTCTTCTGGCGTTTTTTTCAAAGAGAGATTTATTAAACGCGACGCCAACTTATTTACTCATCAGGTAGAAGAATTTATGAATGAGAATACACTTAATATGGCTAACCACGTTAAATGATAAGGTCTCACCTGTCATTTAGCAGCGCGGTGGGATTGCGGTATTTGTAACGACACTTGTAACCAGTCACTTCACTGCTCATCGTTAAATTTATTAAAGTAAAACAATACCAAATATCAGCTCGGCAATAAAACTGCACGCAATCTGTTCCATTTTGGTACAATAAACACCATCAAAATGAAATACAAGTTCATCATTTTTCATTATTTAACTCTTGATTGAAGTGGGCAATTATTACCCTGGCGGTCACATCGCCAACGGTAACTTTCCAAGGACAGGTGCATGCCAGGTGACACACAGTCACATTCCGAACCACAGGGCATAGATGATAGATACAGCATGGCTTGTTAGATAAGGTGTCTGTGTGTGTGTGTGTGTGTGGTGGGGGGGGGGGAGGGGGGGGGGGGGGGGTGCAACGCTCTCCTTGCACACAGGTGGTATTCAAAATGTCCAGTTTTCTGGTGGTCAGGAAGGAAATATCTGTCTTTGTATCACTATCTTAGATTAAGCAGTGGCATTTGTCACGCGGGAATTCGTTTGGGTTTATAGATCAGATTGATATTAATCTACAGCTATGATTTTTTTTACGCGCGAAGAGGTGGAACAGGGTGGGAGGGTCGAGATGAGGGGGTAGCTTGCCACCATCCTATATCCAGAAGAAAACCAAGAGCAAACAAACAAAATTAACTCCTCCCTTGTTTATTGATATTCGATTCCTGGCCTAGGAGGCCTTGATAGCCGCAGTGAGGCGTTCTATCAAGAGGAGCCTCTCAACACCTTCGGACTTCGAAAATTAGATAATGGGGCGGGGCGGGTGACAGAATTGATATTATTTGTTTTTGCAGGGGGCGGGGAGAGGGGTCGCTAACCTGTCATATTTTTCATATACTGGAATAATGCAAAATCCCTTGATAAGACTGCAATCTTTTAATAAATTTCTCCCCTCAATTGTCATTTCGTCAACATCTCACTTCAAATAAACAAAGCATCTTGTATACTTTCTTGAAGAACACTATTCATCCAGGTATACAAAACAGTTTTTCACTTTTAAGTGAGCAAAAACAGCATGTTTACCTTGTTCAAAAAGTCATTAAATATACCACTCATGTTGTAACCACCGCTTCCCAGATATTCTCCTTCTCGCGTCGTCTGGTAATGTAGTCATCTAAAAACACGCTCAATATTTGAACAACGATTAATCTTAGGAGAGCGTGCTATTACAGCGTTCGCGTTTACCTAAATCACTCAAATTAAAATTAATGAAAAAAATTACTCAAGGTAAGGTCTTCATTAACCACGATTGCAAATCAGTGTGTTATTGTTGGCCCGCCCGGGAGTAACTCTCACGACGAATGAATAAGTTGCTCACTTTCAACATGTCCAATTCATATCTGTTAGGGACAAAACAAACATTATTTGAAGATGTACCAAAAGAAAATGATAAATAATCTTTTGAATAAACTATGAAGAACTTATCTTGGATATCCGGGCTTGTCTGTCTGTTATCACTGGCATTTTCATACAAGATATAGGGAAATTACGCATATTTTTTTACTTGCGTATGGATGTATTCTTTCGAGCCTCACCACAATAGCAAGGGTTGACTCTGCTACTGATGGTTAAAATGTGTTATAAGGAACTTCAGATGAGAATCACTTGATGTATTAATTTCAACCCGTCAACGACGCTGAAGAACTCGAATCATTGTCTTTACCCAATATATCCATTATATTGGTCACTTTTTTACGTTGTCAAATCTTCCTTCATTATACAAGCACTTACAAAGGCGTGTCAATGGCATTAATCATAGGACTATAATTAAACTGCAGAAAATATTATTGATTTACGCAAACTGTCTCTCGTGCCTAGTTCCTCATAGAGCCTTCGGGTATCATCAAATAAATACCCAAACAGGCTTAGAATTGTAGGAATTTGGGGTGGTTTTGACTCCTGTCTAAGGGCTATCTACTTAGCTGATCAGTTGGACAGTTTAAGCAACGTGTCCAAGTATTCTGAAACACTTAATCTCACGCGTTACTTACCTATGTACACACTTAACGTGATACCACCTTGTTGGCGATAGAGACAGCGATATTTCCAACACCGTTTAATTAACTACCCCTTTCACGGCAGAATGCAGCGGTCAATTAAGTAATAGAGGGTCAATAATGCTGATATCGATAAATCTGTAAGATAAAGTGATTGCTGTAAGTAAATATTGTACTATTTATGATGTTATAATATACCAGAATTTGTACTTACGTGTACACCTCTCTGGGCTTATGAAAAGTTGCCACAATGCAATAAATTTCTTTCACTGAAAGAACCGTCACTTGCAGCAATGCTATTATTTTCTATAATTATCTAAAGTCCGTTTAAGAGTATATTAAGTTAAGGAAATAGTGTATTCTCTTTTGTTATAAAATGTTTCCTTCTATGTGGAATGCTGAGATATGTATTATTAAGGTAAAATGATGTCACGTATTCTCAAGAACCTTTATAATTAAGTCACGCAAAATTGAAGTTAACTCTTGAGTGAATTCTATTTCACCTTGGTCAAAGTTCTTGCTAAATCAAAACGTGTAAAATGACATGTTTCATTTCTAAACGATAATTATGCAGAGGGAATCATTCCATTAAAGACCTAACTTGTTTAATAACTAAAACTGCAGCCTAGAGACTTTTACTTAATAGGATGCATGAACTGGGCAATTTAAGGTCAAACCCTCATATTTTTACTGGTGTTATTGGCTTACAGCTATAATGTGTGTCTCTATCTGACAAAATGCTGACATCTGCCTGTAATTTTGTGAAGTGTGTGTCAGAGAGAGAGAGAGAGAGAGAGAGAGAGAGAGAGAGAGAGAGAGAGAGAGAGAGAGAGAGAGAGAGAGAGAGAGAGAGATTTTAACAGATATAGTTATGACAAAGACTAGCAATTTCGAAAGTCTGAACATTTTGAACAGCAGAAAAAAAGTGTCTAGGGACTATAAGAAAGTACAGCCAAACTATTACACATATTTTCATATCTTAGCAGTGAAGGCGGTGTTGAAGCGGGCTGCGCTCAAAATATTCACACACTCAGCATGTGACATCTTCGTGAACTGATTAATTGTAATAAACCGTCTGGGCAAAGGTATTGATTATCTACAACATGCAAAGTCACCGCGAGTTTTTTTATGACGTCACCTCCCATAACTCGTTCGTTTTTGCACGTACTCCCATACTATTTTAAGTAAAGACGTTTAGATGCCGTCAGTTTGGCATGATTGAGTACCCTGATATCATCGGCCATAAGGAGGCGGGGTTTGAAAATTGAGTAGATTTGAAATAAGACTTCTTTCAAGAAAAAAGTTTTATTTAAAGAAGAAGTTATCCAGTAAGGCTTTCTTGTGAATTCTAGTCTTATTAAAAAGTCAACTGAGGTAAAGTGTTTGACATTTTTTTTAAAGAATTGGGATCATTTACAAGGCTGGCAATGTAAATGAAGCTCTCACCGATGTGCAAGAAATTCATATTTGGATTCAACGCAACCCCTTTTCCTTGTGCATTCCTCTACCGGTAGCCGTCTTTTTCCCTCTTGAATTATTCTAGCCTCCGAGTAAAGGAGAGGGCGCGCCTACCAAAGATGCCAGCGATGTACGAATATTTAATATTCACAACTCTGCTTTTTCAGGTCACTTGAAGAGAAGAGAGAGGAGTGAACTTTTCACTGACCTGTGATACCGGTAAGTGAACAGTCCGTAACATGAATGTCTCACATACATGTAGATATATATATATATAGTGATAAAGTTTTCAGAAAATATCTGCTCATTTGAAGATAACCTGCCCATCAGTCTATTATAGCAAGATGAAAAAAAAACTTAATAACTGACGGTGTCTAAATCAATTTGGATTCCTGCCCCAGGAACACATTTAATTCAATACAGTGGACATCTTATGTAAATACCTTTGATCTCATGTATTTTAACCTATTTGTATTTCAATTGGTTTTGTTATCTTGCGGCAGTGGTCGAACGCGACATTAAGTTATTCAAGTTGCGTTCTAACGTTTGATGTTCGTCCAGTTCATCTTTATGATAGCGACGACCCATTCGGGTGCCCAGAATCCCGAAAAAGTCGTTGATGTTTCTTATAGATAACTGTCCTGTGATGTTACGGTAATTTAGTACTTACTATCTAATACATAACCGATGTGAATATTCATGTTTGTTTGAAATGTAGTCTTGCCATAGATTTATCTCGCTTCTTATAAAGGCTCGCAGACCCGAGAGCTTTATTTGGCACAAAGAGTTGATCGTAGGAACGCGAGTCATTTTTATTGCCATAAAAGATACACTGCACGCAGGGCTGGCGCGATACCTCGTTGTAAGACATGGAGAAAGGGGTGTTTTTTATCGACGCTTTCGTTTTTTTTAGTTTAAGGTCAGAAAAACTTATCTATTTTGCTACGAGCTGAAAGAAAAACTATCCTGCTAGAATCCAAGGTATTCGTATGAGCGGGCCTTTTATGGTTTCATGATTTTTCTCTTTCAACTTCTCACTATGCAATAAGCCGACAAGGTAGTTCGTAGTTATCAACAACGTGATTTCGTCTTCGTTAGATTTCGTATATAACCTAGAATTTCATATATTCGTGTGACCCTAATTCAGGAGACCTTGTTTAGATGTAACATGTGGTACTTTCAAAATAGAATGTGAAGACGTCCTTTGGCACATATTTACAACTTCATACGTTGGTTAAATTCCGTTTTAGGGAGAATTCTATTATCTATGGATTTTCTTTTGGCAAAAGTTAACAAAATCGTGTATTAACCTTAACGTATAATTCATTGATTTAATGATTTCAATATAGGGCGCATTCCGTTTACCATATGCTTACAAATTACTCTCTATGCCCCAGAGATGGGACCCCATTGCTTTGTGAATGACCTGCATTATCATAAAGTGAATCAAACCAGAGGATATGTACTACATAAGAAATATGTGCACTTTTCAATAGTTAATATTAAGGATGAGCTGCATATGCTTGTCTTAATCTAGATCGCTGATTTAGGTTTATTTCGAGTTTAAGTACGCGTGCGCGTGGTCTGTTTATATCATCATTTGTTTGAATTCCACGAGGAGAGAGAGAGAGAAAGAGAGAGAGAGAAGTTAAATAGAATCTCTCAAAAATTAGTTTTTCCTTACTTTTGTTGTGTGACAGAGATCTCGCAAACAGAAAATATTGACTCATTTCTCAAATACTCGTAAACAACACAGTTTGACACTTATTGATGAAGTGCACGCCGAGTCCTTACAACACCCCGAAGAGGTTTTGGTGCATTATGCCAGACGGATTTGGATCTTATGTAAAACAATGTTACATTTGGCTGCCGGTACACAGATAGGACACTCTGTCCATACCAATAGTAGCGTATTGGCCCAGTGCTTTTTCGATGCAAGGAACCGATGTCTTCTGTATGCTAGGAATTTGCCCGGCATCTCTTTCAGGCCAAGTAGCTATTAGACGGGAATGCATGTAATTTTTCATATTGGGACAGAGATTGACCATTCACATACATTGCTTATTTATATACAAGATCAACAACACTGATGAGTTCTCCGTCTACGACAACAGCCTAGGGACTACATGTAATGTCGCCATTAACGCCACAGTATATGAATGATAAAAATGCTCTTTGAGCGAGGAGGTTGATTTGACCCGCCCGCCACTCCCTGCGTTCCCTCCCTCCCTATCTTTCGTTCTTGCTCTCTCTCTCTTTCTCGTTTTCTTTTTTTCTCTCTCTGTCTGTGTGTGTGTGTGTGTGTGTGCGCGTGCGTACGTGCGTGCGTGTTCGTTTGTTTGTGCGTACATGCGCGTGTCCTCGATGCAAGCCTAAAATTAATAGGTTTATGATGACCTTCATAATGTTAATTAATGTCATTTGAACCAACGTGACAACTCTGAAGCAGACGGAGACAAACTTTTGACATTGAAATTAAGATGATTCACACCTCAAATGTGGAGCCCCCACAGAATAAAGGCGTGCTTCCCTCGGGCTTCCTTGTATAACATTGCCTTGACCGCAGACGCCGACATCGTTGAAATTAATATGCACACGTAGCACGCTCATTTTGAGGCGTAATTCCCCTAAGAACGCCTTCTGATGTTTAACTTTCAGTCTTAAAGTTGGGTTTAGATTGCGAAAGTAGCATTTTGCGGGAATTTTCAAGATTTAGGTCGGATGTCCGTTAATGTTTTTCAAGTGCAGAAGAATTGAATATCCACGCCCGGGTAGACTTTTGAAACATTTATAGTGCGGCTAAGAAGCTACTGTATCTTATCAAAATTCCTTTATCTGGATTTGGAGTTGGTTGCCTTCTTTAAGGGCAAAATTTTGCAAGTCGGATCGTCTCTGACCAAGACCAGGATTGGCGCAAGCAAGGACAATTAAGGACATCGCTTTATGATAGAACACTAGAATCAACAACTTTTTGCTAATCAAAGTAGACTAATTGCTCATAACATTATTAGCGGAATACTCAAGCTCAGAAGAAGACGCCATGCATTTTAACCTGCGAAAGCACAGCGTGGAGAGCGTAGGTAATGAATAAAGTTTAACAAGCCGGGCAGGTCTGCGGTTAAGATTAGTACTTCAAAGAGTGCTAACTGCAGTTCACTATTTGAATGTGATATCTTGAAGGCCTTTATCAAAAAGCAATTTAAGTTCAAACAACACAGTGTACAAAATGTAATATCCTCAAATAGGGTGATTAAGAGGAGAGCATTATCACATAAATTAAGACAGCTGTGTTCAATATGATAAAAGTTATACGCTCCAATAAAAGTGCATTAAGACCATGTCCTCTAAAAATCCTATTTATCCTGGAGCGTGACTCGTAACGTAATGCGGGTTTATCATCAGGAGATTGTGAACTGACGTTTAAAAGCAAGTGCACTTCAATTAATAATAGCGGTTCGTTTAAGTGCTCTTAAATCGCCATTGTTGTACTTAATTCTTATAGCAATTAATCAACGTTCTGTTTCGCATCGCGCTTGTAAACAAGTGTATTTAAGGTGTGTTATTTATTTCACAGTCGTTAATTGAGTCGTACTACCAAAAGTAGAACTGAGTCCACTAAGCGTGATTAATGTCACATCATTTATTTATTCTTTCTAATTTTAATGCCACTTAATCAAAGCCACGCGAGGTGTCACACTAGTGTACGTATTTCAAAGTTTGCGGTTTGGATATCAATTAGCAGTAATAGCGTGACATCCTGTGGTTTACCATGAATATGATACGTCCGGGTGGTATATCTGTGTGTTGTCTTCATTTAGTTATTAATGCAACCAATTTTTAAAGATATTTGCTTATTTCGATGCGGTTAAATTTTTATGAAATTCTTTGCGTTGTTCTTTACTGCCAAACCCACAGCCAGATAAAAGAAGGGAGTAAGAGAACTCGTGCGTGACTGAATTTCCTGTTTTCGTTCTTTCTTTTTTTCGGAGGGAGGGGGGGGGGGTTGTTGAAATACAACAACTTCTGAAGAAAATGTTTTCACCTAAAAATGGAGAATTCCTCAAAAGGAGGTAAATTCTTTTCATACAAGGTAGAATCTAGGCTAGGAGAAGTATATGTTTATCTGTTTGAGTAATTTTATTCCAAGTGTCAAATCCTTGCCAGTTTTAGTCATAGTACTAGGATATAATTCTATCAGTAATTTTCATATAGGTGATAAAGAAAGAAATTCTGTTCGTTTGCTTTGCGCTTATCTATCGTTTGTAAGAATTCAGGCAACAAGTAAAATAAAATTAAGTAACACGCCAATGGTCACTATTAAAGAGTGCCCGGACGTTAGAGAGACTAATCTTTGATAATAATAGTTTTCCAATCATTCATTTGTCATGGCCAAATAGGCGTTCCGCCATCTATTCCAAAATAGAAAAAGGTACAAGTAAAGGTGAAATGTTTGAAAAATTCCCTATATTTATGTACAAACGTTTAATTTGCCATTGGAGATCTAATACAGTGCTATACGATCATGTAATGTAAGAAGCATATTCAACAAGTAGATAAGTCGCCCTATCGTAAAAAAAGAGAAAAACTGATCAAAATGTTATTGAGAGAGTGCATTTCTCGCCTCACGTATAACAATACATAAAATCACGTTTTAGAACACATGGTTTAACAATACTACCATCGTTTCATCCACAACGCTCATTGTGGCCATCATTGTTTCTTTCTTTTAGGCAGACGGTTATCGGCAGACGGCATCTAACCTTTCTGCGTCACTTATCCGTCACCCAGCTTTATGTATTTTTTATTTATTAATTTTTTAAGGTTGACTGTAAGTTCACTGAACTCAAAGTAATTTATCTGGAAGTCTCTCTCTCTTTAATTTTTTGAGGATAACCAAAGGTTCATGGTGTTGAAAAATGCACTTACATTTTGAAACGATACACAAAGACGAAAATTAGTGGTTGATGCATATCGTTTTATCACAATGTGGTCCGTTTTCCTTTTGATTATTTGTTCATTAGTATTTCTTATGCTAGATGTCACTAGATTGGACCTTGTTAGAGTGTATTTTGTGGTTTGTAAGATAAGACAGAATACACTCACCACCTTGTTAAAAACATGTAAACTGTAATCATAAATCATTATGATTCTGGTTGCGATAAGCGCTTATCCCTTTTTTTATACAAGATTGAGCTTTTTGGAGTCGAAAGTTTTCTTGG